GGGGGGGGGGGGGGGGGGGGGGGGGGGGGGGGGGGGGGGGGGGGCGCTTGCTTGCTACATGATCCGTGCACCGAAGGGGTGAGCAAGAGTTTGCAACAAGAATGTGGGGGGATCGGATGCCGTGCGTCCGGGTACGCAGACAAACACCAACAGAGTCTTCTTCGAGTAATTGTTCATGCAAGTGCACTGAGAGATGTCCCAACAAAACGCGAATTTGTCACAGACAGGAAAATGAAAATTGGCGCACTACCGATACACAGCTGCACAAAAGAACACAGCAGTTGGTACGTTCGAATCAGATGGCTTGCCTCTTGCATCCTCATCGCCCAAAAGTTAGAGCATGGCTGGGGCGAAGAGTGAGAAATCAACGTAGTGGAGCTACAGGATGGGTGGCATACAGATAGCTCAAGGCAACCATCACGACCCTGTCTTACCATGATTTCGTGGCGATGACAACCACCTCCCGCGAGATGAACTGCGGTACCGTGGCCGTCCTGCTGGCTACCGTATGTGCTTACAACTGTATACGAGTCGCTGGTATCACATTGCCACGTCCTGCCTAACACCACAAACAAGCAAAGCTAAACTCAACAAACAGCACACACTACATCCCGCGTTTTTCTACAACTACAAGTAGTCATACCGAAAAACACCAACGTACATATATCCTGGCATGTCAGTTCATCCAGAAGAACGTGCGTCGCTGGCCAACACTTTTGCGCCTTGTTCACAGCGAAACGTGAAATAGCGCGTGAATATCGAACGGCAACCGTCGGTTTTCACCACCAGGACCACCGCCCTGAGCTACGCGACGGTAACGCTCGAATCGACACTGAGCTGTTCACAGGCACCGCCGCACTTACCTTCTTCTTCCGGAACGTGGCACCCGTGATGTCATCGTGGAGCGATGGGATGTGCAGTCTACGAGCCACTCCGGAAGGAAGCGTTACCTCCAGGTCGAGGCAGCTCGCCTCCCACTTCTGAACAGACCCAGGCGAGACACACACACACACACAAGACGCCGTGCCGCAGAACAACGGCATCACGCACCGCGACAGCAGGCAGCGGGTTGGTTGTGGGAGAGCTGAGGTAGGGGTGGTGAACATGGTGGCCTTCCATGGTGAACCGACAAGAGCGACCACACAAAGCACACATCATCTCTGTCTCTGTCTCTGTCTCTGTCCCTCTCTCTCTCTATGCCTCTCTCTGTTCTCTGTTATCTGTCTCTGTTTCTCTCTGATATTTGTCTCTTTCTCTCTCTGTGTTCTCTATGTGTGGGCGGGCGTCTGTCTCACCAAGCTGATGCTGTCGTCTTCGATGTCTGCGCAGCCCTCAAGGGGGACGTAGATCTTAACCTTGGCCTTCTCGTTGGCCCAGGCGTAGTCGGTCACCTTCTCCGCCTTCTGTGACGCGGCGTGATCGTACACAGCGCGATCGTACACAGAGCACCAAACCGCAGTGAAGGGACAGAAGAAGCGATAAACCCAAAATCAAGGTTTGTGTTTTTAAGTGCCACATGATGTGCTGCGTGATTGAAAACAACATGGCGTAGACAACAGGAAGCACTGACTCTCTCCAGAGGGGGTGAGGAGCTATCCCCCCAACGTAGACTGGAAAATGCTGCGAACATGTTGAGCGTTGGGGAAAGAAAATATGACCAAAGAAACGTGCTAATCGAAAGACATGCAGCCTTGCACAACCGCCGTGATTGCAAGAGACGTCGCAGGATCACCTCTGCCCCGATAACCATAATCCAACCTCACGTTCCCGACCACCCGTTGACTGCATACACACCAAAATTGTAGATCGGCATGACATCAAGCCTCCGAGGTTATATACTCGACGCTTGCGATAGTTGGCAACGTGTTTTGCCCAGAACAACATCGGTGCGGGTACACATCGCCTGACATACACTACATTTACCCGTTGCTACCGTGGTACCAAAATTGTAACAACACACACAGTGACGCACCTTTGGCGCTGGCTTGGTCGCGCTCGTGGTGGCCAAGCGGCGAGGGGCCGATCTCCCATCCCACGAAGGAGTATCCATTACCCTGGCAAGGAAGGGCACATGGAACAGGGTGGAACACACGGAGATACTCAATACACAAAAAAATAGTCAGTACTTGTTCGTCCCACGTGGAAACGACACTTTGGTTGGGGATCAAAGCACACGAGATACCGCCACCGGGTGAAGCCGCCACTCCCCCCTCCCCCCGCCATGCCTTCCCCCTGTGCTGTGTAAGTTCGACGAACAATTGTCCCAGGAGAGGCGTTTAAGGTGTCGCTTGTACGAAGTATTTCAATTAGTCTGACCGGTATGCATACGTCTAAAAACAATACAGCATTGGTAGTAATACATGGTACGACTGATACTTCGAAGTACAAACTACAGAATGTACTAGCAACAAGATTTCCGTCGGCGGACACGCCTGCTGCGGTAGAGTGCCCATACCGCCACGCGCACTAGTCAAGCCTCCTCAACCTGGTTGCTCCTTCGCCGATCGACAGCAAGAAATCCGACACTACTCTATGCCGTCAAATACAGCCGGAAGCCTTCCTCAAAAAGGCATGAAACAGCAGCTACACGAGATTCCCCCAACCGACATGGGCGGCTGGCCCTCTACCCCCACTATCCGGCGCTCACGAAACTTCTTAATCCACATCAACAGCCCGGGAAGCCTCTGAAACAAGCGGCCATCAGCGTTCGTCAGAGGGAGACCGCCCCGCGCACGCCAATGCCGGAGCAAGCCCTAGAGGAACAACCCGATGCCCCCAAAAAAATCACCAACACCGTAACAGATGGAGAGATGGCACCGGGCTCAACCGTTGTTTTATATATATTTTCCTCGGGTTCTTTGTCGCACCCCGATGCCATATCTTCGACCGGTGCCATCTCTCCGCCCCCGGTGCGGAAATGCAATAAAATCATTTCCTTAAGATGTTTGAAGGCATCCCGGTGCCATCTCGCCAACCGGTGCGATCCCCAATGAATCACACATAATGTGTTGTATGCACGCACCCGGTGCCATCTCCCCGACCGGTACTAAAGTCTTGATACCTGAGTAGATATACCCACGCACACACTGTGCTGTGTTTCTGTGTTTCTTTTTTTCATGACCTCCCTGCCTACTCTGCTGTGTTGGGTACCGTGATCTCGCTTTGCTGTTGCTTTTGTTTTTGTACGTCTGGCTGTCTGTCCATCTGCCGCCTCTTTGTCCTGTTTTCTCCGTTACTCCCATGCCCTGGTGCGTAGTGCCTGGTGCTGGGACGTTACCCTTTGATTTTTTCTTTGGGCGGGTGTGGGAAGCGTCCTCCTTTATTTTTGTTTTTGTTTTATTTTGATCGGTTTCCGGGAACTCTTTTCTCGAACGGTCGGTGCGATACCTGTTCCTTTCTTTCTATCATTTTCTTTTCTTTTTCCGAGTGGTTTGTACCTTATTTTTGTTTTGTTTCCCCGCGGCGCCGTATGTGCCGGCTTTTGAGACCACGGGCTCCCCATTTTTTGTGGACTATAGAGCTAATGTGAGAAACAACAACAACAACAACAACAACAACAACAACAACAACACGGTCTTCTGCACATGCAGAGTTGTCACACATCGCTAGTGGGCAATGCTATTGATCAGTATAGAACCACACGTGTAGGCCCGTCGTTGCTGGTTGGAAACACATCGGTAACGGCGACGTAGGCTGGTACGAAACAGCTTTCCATACAGCCAGTGGTCTCGTGTTTGATGCGAGTTTGGCAATGGCGTTACGACAACAAACGATGTCGTTTCCATCTGAGGCATGTATCGGCACATCAGGTAACAGCAGTTGTCTCCCGCCTTCGTTTCGGTCTTCCAATTACGGATACCAGTACGTACGCAGCAGTAAACAGTTCTGTGTTGTGTATGGTGGGTAGGGTGAGGTTTGTGCGTTGTGTGTTTGGTTGATTTGAGTGTACGATTGGCAACTTCGATACCAATATCAAAAATAAAAACAACTGGCATCCCGCGCGAACCGTGAACCGCGACCATGCGCACATACATGCAGAACAGGAGTGGCGCCCCGCTGGCACCGTCCCCACATGTAAAAGGTACGCACGTGTACCTCATTCTGGCAGCTGAAAAGGAGCTCAATCTTCGATTTGGCGGTCGGAGAGAACTACCCGTTGGACCCCGGTGCGTAAATCGATTTACAACATGCCATTGTTGTATATTCTAGCGCACCCCGGTGCCATCTCCCCGACCGGTTCCATGTCTCCGATCGGTGCCATCTCTTCGATTACTACGGTACTATCTTATGCCGCGGATGCGGTAAGCAAGCCTTTTGGGGAACACCCCGATGCCCCACCCCGCCAAACTCACCAATTGTCGAAGTCTTTGACGAGCAACCTAATGCCCTCCCCCCCCCGAAACCACCAACTGCCTTCAAACACACACATACGTGTGACCGGACACGGACACACCTGTCGTGGGCGTAGTAGTAGCTGTTCTTGCCCTTCCTGGCGAGGTTCTCCCTGAGCGCCGACAGCTGCTCTTCCGTCTGCTGCTGCTGCGGCGTTTCGCTCCCATCGTCCCCAGCGGGAACAGCTGCCCGTGGTAGAGAAACAGAAGGTAGGTCAACGAAAAAAGCATGGTAAGAATAAAGCACAAGGATTTCGTGTCTGGACTTGCAGCAGCAGCAGTGCTCGCACTGCATGGGCGCCCAGGCGTGTGAGCCGCCGCCGAGGTGTAACGGGCCCAACCGACGTGAGAGCGGTGAACCATCGTAAGGAAGAACGAATCCTCAAACATGTTCAGCACTACCAACGCCGGCATGACACACGAAGCACTGCTCTGTCTTATCAGAAAATACGGTGCGGGCGATGCGCTTTGGGCGACGGCACGGACACTTGTTCTCCAAGTTGGATGCCGACTTGCCCCGGATGCTTTCCCATGCATGTCCAGATTGATCACCTCTGAAAGGGGAAATATTTCGTCGTCGAAAACCTTGTGCAAATCGCCCAGCCCGCAAACGCAATACTGATTCTCCCATGATATCGTCTGTGGTAGATCGGAAGCCTTGACCGTAAAGGGGCAAGCGGGTGTCGGGTGATCCGATGAGCCCGCAACTTGCTACTCAATGTAACAGGACGATATCTAAATAGGAGCGAGCGATGGGAAACAGTTTAATTGCACGTGCTGGGAGTAAGGAAGAAGAATCTCCGGAGAGGCAAAGAAGAAGAGCATAAAAACTATTTCCCAGTGCAAAGGCAGCTGCTGTACCAACCACATCCACGAGGAACGCGATGGACCTCGTGTGTTCACCGGCTTTGATTCGCCCGCGTGGGTGGATCAGCAGGCTCACCTGTCTCTCCATATGTTTGTTGTTGCGGACCACCCGCCTTGTGCTTCGTCTAACACACCCTACGAGAAGAAGAGCAAAAAAAGCATCTCCAACACGCGCCTTCAAGCTCTCTGGCCCATCACCCAGCACACGGCCAGCACCGCAACATGTGTTGTAAACATGATGCCTCGCTGCTACCATAATATGATACGTAATCTAAATCTTCGCCTTGCTCAAGACGGGAAGCTTCCCTACACTGCCGTAGATATTTTTATGATTTCTAGAAAAGAGGGTGCCATTTGACACGAAGAAACTCCTTCCCCAACCACGATACAGCGGGAGGTACACACAGGAGTTTAGGTTGTGGATCCATAATGCCTGGCTCAGTTCGTGCCATCGCGATACAACTATCCAGTGCTGCACAGACAAACACGTGCTTGAACATTCGTGCGGGGCGGGAAAACGAACAACACGCACGCACCGGCCGCCTCGGGGCCTGCTCCTCCCACTTCGCTTGCAGACATTGTCTGGCAGGCACTCTGTGAACTGATGAGGTCGTCCGCGGGTAGCGACGACTAGAGAGCGGGGGGAGAGAGAGTGAGAGTAGCAAGGGTGGACAGGACCCGCGGTAGAGTACGGGTGTGCCCCGGAAGGTTGCTGGAGTTTGCCCGCGTGTGCAGCAGTACGTGGAAAGTGGGCAAATGGCGGGGGGGGCGCAGAGAGTACCCATTCATCCCAGGTCCGGTGTTCCAAAAAAATGCATGTTGGTTTCTCGGGCGCTGTTGCGTCGCATTCCAGAACCAGCGGTGCGCGCTGTCGCCCCGCGCTCCCGCGATCTTTCTCTCTCGCGCTCTCTCTCCGTCTCTAAAATGGCCTGGGGCGCCGTGCTGACGCAGTGGTACGTCGCCGCTGCCACTGCCTACTGCATACTGTCGCTGGCGCTTGGACAAGGTGAGCTGTTGTGGTGTGCTTGAGACCGTAACGAAAGATCGCCCAAAGTACAGTACTACTCACAGAAGATCGCAGCTGCTGTAGGGGGCAGAGAGAGAAGGGGAAAGGGAGGGAGAGCGCGAAAGGATTTTTGGTGCTATGGAAGAGTGTTTTCTCGAATGCATGATCCTTGGCGACATCGACGTCCGTCCTCCATGGTACATGGAAAGTAAGGTGGGCTGCCCGGGCTGCAAGCATTGACTGCTGTTGAACGAATCAGGCTTCAAAATCAGTAGCTTGCAGACTATCCCTATTGTCTAGACTACAATGTCGACGCCAGCTTTATCTATCATGCTTTGCAGTCTTGTCTTTATCGAATAGACATCGCTTACCAACCATTGCTTACACAGAAAAAACGTCTCGCGCGCATTGTCACCTTTAACGCGTAGTACAACACAGAGTAGCTTTCGCATACAGCAGTAGTGCTTGGGCAGGACTACACAACAATGAACCGAGTGGGCCAGTCATCTATAGGAAAACCGGTACCCCTTCTTGTCCATGGAATACTGCCATTGTCCGACCTTGGTCTAGGCTACACAGCTCGCTCAAAGCTCATCTACCCCTTGTTCACTAGCTGAACATACAAGGGTAACTGCCGATCGACACGTGTACTACACAGAGCTAGACGAGCCCTACACCGACGCGGACGAAGATCGACTCAAGTCATTTTGGGACACAAGGGTAGAGGTGGACCCTTGCTGCGATGTCATCTTGGGGGAGCCGCTGGAGATCACCGTTTGGTTCAGAACGGACGGAAATTTCACGGAATCAGTCGCTCTCTATGTCGACCTTCCCCGTGAGTGCATGGAATGAACGCCATATAGATCTGCCCGCAGCGTTGACTGTGCAGAACCATGCTCTTACATTCCCCAACGTCAGAGTGAGAAAGGCCTCTGTGTAAGTCCAGAAGAGGATTGATCGAACGTTGTTGTAATAATATTTCGGGATGACTTGGTAACTAGCACGTGCATCAATATATTTATGGTACCACTACTCGGAACCAGCGCGCAGCTCTGTGTGCGGCAGATGTCGTACCTACAGCTCCACCATCCGTATCATTGCCAGAACGGGTAGACCAATCGTTTGTCAGAGAGAGGTCGACACACACTCCAAGCTCATGTTGTACTCTCCACGAAACGACTAGACTATGTAGCGAACGTGTTGCTTGTCGAAGGTTTTGGGTATTTGCACGTGGCTTTCTTAGCTACTGCTCGTTACCTGTGGTCGTTGAATGCCCTCGAGTAGGGAAGTGCAATGCCCCTTTCTAGCCTGCATCACAGTATCAGGATGCCTCTATACCCGTGGGCGCTTTCTCGGGTGCCGAGTTCTTATCGACTGGCCATTTGATAGCTTCGGACTTCGCCTCCCATCTAAGCCATTATTTTCTTCTCGCAACGGGCGATGTCGAACAGGTCTGACGACGGGCACGCTCGAAAATTTGTTCAACGACAGCACAGACATTGGTCTTGGCGAGGTATGTGCGTGGGTCAAGTTCCAGCGTTCATGGATCATACTGGTAGTTTGTAGTCCAAGCAGCAGCGCAACTTGTTTTCTATCATTGCACACAGCAGAAAAACGTTACCTAGAGAGACGAGCCAAGGATACACCACAGAGAAAGAAACTCTATGTATGGATGAGGCTTCGACGGGTGGCACCGCAGTGGTTGCAGTGCCTGCATGTTGACCCCCCATGGTCGTGAGAAATGAGGACGAGAGGATGGTGAACGTTGGTGATTGGTGGTGGTACACACATGTGACCGGCTCAAGCATAACGGTTGGTTGGTTCTAATACGGAGTGCTAACGCTCATCATTCCTTGGGACTCCAATGTAGGAAAACGATTGTTGTCACACGCTGTTGGTTTCTCTGGAAGCTTTCCGAGCCCGTTCGGCCAGCGTCAGGCGCTAAAACACAGGATTAGCTCTTGCTTTCCCATTTTTCGTTATTGGCAATCCACGTTCTGGTGTTCTCCCGGTATTCTGCTGGCTGCATGTCAATGCAGCGCTTCCCCACCTTTCCCCCGTCCTAATGAACACGCATTGGCTTTCTGGACAGCTGGATGTAAGCCCGTCCACCCTTTGGAGAGGCGCGTGGGAGCAAGGGGTGTACGACGAAGATTCCCCATACGAAGGATCACGTCTGTTGATGGTGCTAAAACCTGGCCGGACCTTAGACCCCGATTCGGTGAGACATCATTGCGGCTAACGTTTCGACGCGACGTATCGAGTTCTATTTACGTAGTTTCGTGAGTGAACGAGTCGCTGTCAATATCAAGCTTAAGGTTGGTTGGGGCAACACCGACAGATTTACAAAACTCTGTTTCAAGCATACATCGACGTGATAGGCATATTTTCTAAGATCACAGTTGAGGCGGAACATGGGTTCGGCCATTCCAACACCAAGTGCACCTCTCGAAGCACAGCTGAAATCGTTAACTACTACCTCTCAAGCGTGGTATGAACAATAGTGTTGCGCCTATCTGTGCATGCCATGGAGATGACAGGATGAGGATATGTTCGTAAGCATTTCCAAGCGCAACCGCATCTCAGCGTTTTGCGGGTGGGCGGAGGATTCGGTAGACTTCCGCCTCTACACGAACTCCTCGGACTTCGATAAAGCAATCATCGAGACTTCGCCCAGGCTAGGCGACGGATGCCGGTAAGTGACGGTCTACTCGAACAACAGTGTAGTTTGCACATACGCGCTGCCTTTGCTATTATCTGGTTGGCTATTGGCCTCGTGTTAGGTCAGGAAGACGCTACGGGTACCACTTTATGATACCGATGATGCTTGCTATGTCCAAGGGAATATCGGATAGCGCTTAGGATACAGCTTTCTCGCGAACGTTCACGGCAAACCACTTGCAGGAACCAGTTCGACGTGCTTCATACTTAACCGGTGTAATCATGTCGTTTATTAGACAACCTATTATTAATAGAAGTCCCGAACAAGCTGAATGTCATGAGAATTTATGCTTTTGCCGGTGTTGCAACGTTGAGAACTCAACGTCAGTGAATACACCACGTGCGTTTTCTCTACAACTTGCAGAGCGGACTGCTTCGAAAGAGGGGTGTGCGACTACTGCCACGAGGCTTGCCTTTGCCACGAGGGACAAGGGGACAAGACATTCGACATCGTGGACAGCGGGGGCTGGACGCGTATAGATTGCGCCGACTGTGAGAGAAAAGCAACCACGACAACAATAATCATTTCGAACTCACAAAGAGAATTGGTGTGGTAGCTGGGGTGGGGATGCGGCGACGGAATGTTAATACATATATTTTCGCAAGATGCACCGCGTGGTTGTGTAGGGGGGCACGCAGGGCGCGGCCCAAACCGGAAGGTGTAGGCCGTAGCATGCACACACCGGGCTCGCTTGCCAGGTACCTTCAATCTCAAGATAATACAGTCCCGACGAAGCATCCTTCACCGAGCCACTCCTAGGAGCTGTGTTTTGTTCCATTCTTCAATCGCCACACCAGCTCCAGCGTACTGCAGCGGTGTTTGCACTCATCTCTACATGCCTTCACTCGTTGCGCATTTTGATGTAATTTTTTCTCTCTGGCCTGATGCAGATGTGTGTCCTTCGGGGAAATCGTGGGCGGCGCGGCCGAAGACCCTCGAAGGTGGAGGAAGGGCGTCGTTAGAGAGCCATGGGCTGGAGGAATGCTCGGGAAACGGCAGGTGAGTCACAACCGATCCAGAGAGTTTTCGCCACAATCGTTCACGATTCTGCGAAATGAGATGTGACGGTGAAGAAAGAAGGTCGAGTAGATGGTTAGACCGTTTCCTGACAAGCGTTTCGCTCAAGGTTACTAGTGGAAGGGAGCATCAGCCTTCTTAGAACACAGCTTTCTGCACAGGATAGCTGACTCTCCATCCTCCCTTCGTGCCACGTTCCATTATCGCAGCACTAACTGTATCTGAAAAAGGCCAGCGAACTGGCTAAGCGTGACATGCCTTCTTCTGAAATGCCCCCCAGGCTGAAGAACGGGCTCAAAGTCTAAAATATAACATTAGAACTTCCGAGCATTGCAACCGTCTTGCTACTTCATCACACCCTAAGTATGTCGGCATTCCGTGTTCTTCGGAAGATCTTCGAAGATGTCGCGCCTGAAACACGACGATGAAACCTACCTTGTGGTCGCATTCTCCGAAAGTCAAAAGACACTTTGTGACATGACACGTGTCGTTCTTTCCTCTCGCCCTCTCTTGCTACCTGCTTTGTTATTATTGACAGCTGCGACCGAACGGATGCGTCGTGCGTATGTGCTCCCGGTTTCGAGGGCGACGCCTGCCAGCGAAGTGAGCTTGAATACTGCCTTGTGATTGTGTCAGGATTTCCATCACCAGCAGCTGTTGTATTGTCACCAGCTGTTTCGTCGCATTCTCTCTCGTTGTTGCATTCGTCCGAAATAAGCATTTCCCCTCCACAATCACAATACCCCTTTCCATGCAAAGTTCATCAAGCAGCCTGACCTTATTCGCTACCAGTGTGTGCAACTGGAGTGATACACAAGACAACCGAAGGTTCGTGCCGTCTGCATCGATGTGCAGACAGAAATGCGCGATTTAACGTACCAGCCCCACCCGTCGCGATTCAACGGGGAATCGAACACGAGAAGCTTCCACCCGTCGATGATAAGGAGGCCAGCCATAATCGCCACGAAAGGATTTAATCCTTCCGGTGCTCCAGTGCTTGACCCCTCCACTCCCCCATCAAATCGAAACAAATACCCCAATCTGGGGATCAGCTGCACGTCGGGGCGGGCGCCCTCGAGGTTGCAACATGAGAGACTCCTTCCGAGCATTCCTCTCAGCCTCCCTCGGCCGCCCGACCAGCAACCACGCACATCACAGGGGTATCTACATAACCCTTTCATTTTGCCGCCCGCGGAGAGCTACCCTTCGTCAAGGCCACCTGAGGCTATCGGTTCCCCTCCTCGACGCCATCGCCCCCACCCTCAGACGAACACGCCTTCCCCTGCACCAACAGGAGCGCGTCATCCCACCTTCCCTCGAGCGCCAGAGCCTCCACCCTCCCAGGAACACCGCCCTCCTCTCCTTCTGTCCTGTCGCTGGGGACGCTTGCGCCGGGCCCGGCCGACACCGTTACTGCCGCAGCAGCATCCCGAACCAACGACAGCGCACGCTCCCACTGCCCGCCCGCCGCGCAAGCGTCGAGCGCCGCCCGACACGTCGCCGGGGACGGGTCGTGTTGCGCTCTCGCCCACATCGTCTCCACCGTGGCGAGGGCGGCCTCCGCTGTCCTTGCCGCTTCTTGCATCTTCTCGACGACCGCAGCAGCAGCGGCATGTTGATCTGGTCCTCCGGTTCCTGGCTGGTGTTGCGGCGTGGCGCTGTTGGGCGGTGGTTCGGGAAGCTTTCCGAATAGTGGTGGTGATTGTGAAGGGGGCGGATCGTCATTTGTCGCCCCTGGAATGCCTGTGGTCGAGGTTGGGTGGGTGAATGGGGATGGGGCGGTGTTTCTGCAGATTGTGAGTGGGATAGGCAGTTAGGAGTAGAGAGCAGGAAGGAGGGGAGAGGAAAGTTGTCGGCAAATTACCGGTTCGACACTGTACAGGAACACCATACGAAAATGACCTCCCGTGAAACACAGCATTCGATGTTTTCTTTCGTGTTGAGGCTGAGGCGGACTGAAGGGAATCAGACAAAATACAACTGTATACCCCGACCGATTGAAATTGCTTGAGACCACAGAGCTTAGTTCAGCATTACCAAGAAAATACAACGCACCCAGTGCACCAGCACGCATGGCATCAGGGCACTCAACACTTTATATGTGGTTCCTGGCGAAATAGGCAGCTCACTACGTCAACTACAGCATGAAAAGCATATCTTCCTACGAATGTATACCTGGCACAATGTTCAGTCCCTCCGCTTTCATCTCCTTGAGGATATAATCCACGTGTCGTTGTTCCCCCGCCCATCGGCACTCGGCCAGCGCGGCCGTATACACCACAGCACCTGGCTGAACCATCTCCCCCTTCATCTGAACATACGACACATGCACCGTCAAGTGCGTTGTTGAAGTTGGCAAGGAACACAGAAAGCGTTGCACAAGAGCGTTGACGGCACTCAGATCTTCATGCCTTGCCGTCAATGCTGTCAAGAGCAGCATCTGCTGGCGTAATTTCGGCGGTACACCCCACCAGTGTTACACGCGTCTGGTTCGTAGCTCTTCTGCTGCACCGGCTGTGCCTACGTTGTTTCAATCGGACAGATGTTGGTTATTGTTCGCAGACGCCAATCGCCGGTGGATCGGAGCAACACACACACATATATATATATATGTAGCCTATTCGTCGACTATACTAAATTAATGAGCATGGGAAGCCAGGATGGTCCGTCTTTGATGTTCTACACAACAATGTATCATGTAGCAACGCGTTGTCGCCTCAACAAAAAGATCCAAATTGCATAAACGGAGGTGCTACAATCGTCAAGAGTTGCACCGCAATTTTTGTCACTTCTCGGTGCTGGAGGATTCGCCGATTCAAACGTCCACCAACACCTACCTCGTCCACGAGAAAGAGCGCCAACTCCCACGGTACAACGCTCTGCCCTCCGAATTTTCGGATGGAACCAACAGAAGCGGTGCTGCAGCGCTGCCCAATCCTCCCGCTTCTCGTCATCCCAGCAGCTGCATCGTAAAACGAGTGTGCCAAAGCAGCGGGGCTCTGCCCGGGCGAATGATCACACACTACAGGGCGGTTGCGCGGCAAGGAACAGCAGTAGTGGCGTTGTTGCTTCGGTACGGTTCTGCCCAGGGGAAGAACCTTGCTGATGGCAGCACTGCTGGCACTGCTGGGGTTGACGTGGTATGTTGCACTTCGGGAAGGTACGCCGCATTGATGTTTCGACGCAGACGTCGTCGCGTTCGCACATCGACAAGGAGTCATCCCTACAGCTTCAAGCAGGGAGCATGAACTGGTCCTGGTCCGCCAGGAAACATGCCGTACTGTGTGTAGCGCAGAAGCCATCCTGGCTTTGTGGCGGCTATGTAGCTCGCGACAAACAAAAGACAAGCACAGGCCTGTACGCGCATGACTCCCAGAAGAGAACGCTGATTGGGCGAAGTTGAAAACTAAATCTTCGTAGATCCAATGCTTATGCTTTATAGTGGTAGCAACGCAGCAGCAACGGGAGCAGCCGCACCAGAGGCAGCAGTAGTATACGCTTGCTCTCCTTGAACACTAGCTAGAATACACTACCCGCCCGAGATCGACCTGTCATAAAAGAAAGCAGATTCGGCGGGGATCCAAGACAATCACACGCTGTCTCTGCCTCGCGTTCTTGCGATCCATACTCTAGTCTAGTCTAGACTAAGGGTACCCGGACAACCTCCTGCTATGTTGCCTAATTTCGAAAACAAACGCAAGAGCGCCAGAAAATGCACTAGAGACACATAAGACCAGTCGGAAGGCATCGCAAAAAAAACAAGTCCAAAATTCTGGCACAGGGCAGCAGTAGGGACCGCTCAAAACGTGCTTTTCGCGCGTCTACAGTAGTACCTCCACACGCATCCTTTGAAACCAAGATAAAAATCCACACTAGTCTAAATTCAAGTCAAAAGAGCCCAAACGGAAGGCGCTCAAATAAGGCCGGTGTTGCTAGGAACCTGGTCCATTACACCAATATCACTAGAGGACACCCTATAGCAGCGGGGGGGTGTGTTGGCGCGCTCAAAACTTCTTCTGTGGTGGTGGTATCGAGTGTCGTTGTAGTGGCCCACAATCTCCGCAAATCTCCGCAAGTTAGATCGACACCCAGTGTCTTGTACTGCTTGTGCTCGCCGCCACTGAACCCAATCTTCTGAACTGCAGGTTTACAGCAGTAGCTGATGCCACCAGCTACTGCTGACAACCCGCAGTTGAGGGGTTTGCGGTCCGTGGTGGTGAGCACCGCTGTGACAAGTGTTGGGTTCCGCTTGGTTCCGGCGCAGATTTCGGACCGTTTTCAGAGGCTGCTGCGACCTTCGATATTTCAGCCCCAGTAGTATACCTGAACGTGCCAGCACGCACGACGCCTCTTGATGATATCCTCTACTGATACTAGCACAACGGACCAGGTTCCTCCGGCGGGAAGGTTGTTTTCTTTCTTTGTACTGTTATAAAGTATAAGAAAAGAGCCAGCGTCAAAATCCCTTGTCTGGGTACCCCTAAGTAGATACATTTTATTTGCTCCTGTACACCACAGGTCGGAAAGGCTTACCCATTAGACTCAGCGGCTGACTAAGTAGTCTTATGGGTTAGCCTTTCTAACAGAAAATATTCTCTCGGCTCGTAATCTAATGGGTCAGCCTTTCTAACAGCAGGAAATACCGCCACGAAGTCGCCGCTTGGTACCGTGGCAAATTTGCTGTCTAGACTAACTATCACCTATGATACGCCCAAGCACTCGAACATTTGACTACGTATCGCATGCACCTGTTGAAGGAACGCTGGTGAAACTCTTTCCATTTCGTGTTTTCGCAGATTCGTGCCCGTCGGATTGTTCCGGTCATGGAGTATGCCTCAGCATGTTCGAGCTAGGCCAGACCGCCGAGGCTCTACCTCTTATGAACGGGTCCCACATTTACGGGGGTGTAGGCTCTGATGAGGTGAGGATTTACTCGCTCGTTGCTGAGCAGCAAACGTAAGCCATGTAAGTGCACAGTAGTCTCTCCGTTGAAAACGAACAAGTGCTGCAGGGAAATATTATTGTGGTGTCGTCGTCGAAAGGGTGATTTCTGCATGAGAACGGCGAGCGGCAGGAGCAAGGCAACACACGCTGCCATAGAGTCGCACGTTACGGTATCATGAACGGTGCACACCCATACAGGCATGCAGAGAGTATCTGCAGGAGGTGTTGGTAGCTTGACCCCAGGTTGTGGGTGGTAGGGCTAAATACATACGAATTAGAATAGCAAGCATTGAACAATGATTCACAACCACCGCTTATGGAACGTTTCATCATTCTACCGCTTATCGTCTACCAGGTATATCTACAAGTACTATTCCGAGCTCAGCACCCGGCCCGTCACTATGAAAAGCACGCCAAGTCCAGCTTTTTGTTCTTCAGGTTCCGCGGTTTCGTGTACTTTCTCTTCCTTTTTCCGGTGGTTTGTGCCCGTCAGGCACGGATGCGCTGGTCAATTTTCGCACTATTGTAATATGTAATACCATGGCTGCATGCTTGTATTGCCGACATCGCCACCCCTGTCCATCCTTCCGTTCGCAGACGATGGCGTGGGATTTCGATTCGATGTTCGCGTGTGTTTGCGACTCGGCATGGGAGGTTGGGCTGGGTCCCGGTCAGCGACAAGAAGCGGAATACTTCGGGGCGGATTGCTCTCAGCGTAAGCCGATCAGGATTCTTTCATGCCAATGAATCAATCCACGTCCGCCCGTTCGGCGCGTTGTTGGAGTTAGGCGCGAAAAATGGTGCGCCCCTAGCGCGAGGAAAAACATTCGACCAACGTGCTTGTGCAGACTGCCACTAAATATTCCATATGGTAGTGCTTTCTGTGATGAGATCGTTGAGTAATGTGAGCAAAATTGTTTCAATTGACGTGAAGACCACAAGCACATGGTGACGACACCGAGTTCCTCGCTAATCGGTGCCCGCGGATTGTAGGGAGGTGCCCCACCGGAGACGACCCTTTAACAGCTGAGGATGACACCGACTGCGAAGGAGTCACAGCGGAAGGTGGCTTCGGAGTAGGACAGGTGATTGAGCTCAAACCTAGCAGACGCATGTTGGCGAGATTGTCAGCTGCAGATCCCAACAACTGGCCTATTTTTCGCCATTCAATTACCTCAAATACAAGGACTAGTCGGCAAGAAAATGGGGCCTTTCGTCTGTACTGCGGCGTTGCTGCTTGCGATAACTGCCGTGTCAGGGAAGTTACTCCGACGATTGATTGTGTCATCATAAACGCACTCGAGCATTCTCGACTTCACAAAACACCGGGCAGATTCACGCGGAGTCTCCCAAAGCGCTGGCGAGACACATCCAGACAATAACACAACATGACGTTGGATCTTGTGATGCTGCCCTGCTTCGCATACGTCGTTTGTCGTGCGTCCGCACCAGGCGGGAAACCTGTGTCACGTCGACTGCTCGGGTCGAGGGCAATGCGACCACACCACGGGGGAATGCTCCTGTTTCGACGGTTTTTTCGGCGAAAATTGCGGGAAAACCACAATCTTGTCCTTTGACCCTTTTTCGCTGTTGGTGCAACAAGAGCTGTGAAATCGGTCCTATTGATGTGTTCGATGCCTTGGTCCTCCTACAAAGGCTGGATGCCAGCAACGTGGGGCGTAGGGTTCACGAAAATTCACGATGCTTGTTGTCGGGAGCACGCGTGTACACGTGACAGTCACGATAAATTCCTATATGGCGACGGGGCGATGCCGCAAGCCAAGGTACGTGCAAGAACGAAATAGCTATCAAGTGAAAATACTGCATGACACACGCACGAGGCACCTCCAGCAGATCCGGTGGTCGCTGTGCTTGACTCGTACTAAACTACCGGGTGTGCTCGCGCCAGATGCACAGTACGCGTGTCCACCAAATAGTGCAGTGCTTGGCCAATATTATAGCCACTGCGTCTGGTCCGAACGAAAACCTCGGCGGTCCATGCGACACGAAAACACACAAGACACATGAAGATTACGTACACGTTTGTGCTTGACCGAGATTACAACCGACCGAGCTCAGCGATTGGGCAGAAAACCGCGGATCGTACCGTTCGTCGAACAAACAGTCATCCTCATCCCGTCCCATCCTCCAAAAGCATGCCGCAAACACGTTGAAGTTGTCGTACAGCAGTAGGTCTCTGCTCTCCTCTCCCACAATCTCGACACGCGACCGTGCCATATCGACAGACGACGTGATTGCGGGATGATTTCGCGGAGCCCCTCTGATACCCCCCCCCCACTTGTGAACGGTCGCACCCATTTTTTCAAAATTGTGGAACTCGTTTCGCGGTTCCCCGGCGGCGATGCGCATCGTCATCGACCAGACCGCCTCTTGGTGGTGATGTGCGTCCCGTACTTTGGGATGGTGGGGATCATCCACGCGTTGGGCTCCCCCGCGTTGGCGTTGACCAGTGAGAACTCGTACCGGTTCACCAACAAAGACAGGACCACCTGTAACACCAAAAGGCGGGCATGGCGGGTGCGGGAGTTCGTTGCGGCGGTATGCGATTTTTTGGCGTGCTCCCGGGACGAGAAGGGTAACAAAACAAAAAAAAAGTGGCACTGTCAGCGTGCAAGACGGGGTGGGGGAGGAACGTGAGTGAAGTGAACCTGCGGTGTGATAGGCACAGCGGTCACCATGAGGCGACCCACGACAACCAGCGGAGGGAAACGATTGCTCATATCGTCCCCTAGGCCATGCTCCCGAATTGTTTGTGTACAAACCGGGTGGAGGTGATACCGTGCCGTTGTCTACGAGTCGCGGTGCTGACGCCAAGCTCACAAAACTACCGGATCGCTTCGCTTATGAGGTCCCCCGACAGACACAACCGGGCGGTTTGATACCCGGTCCTTTCCAAAATCCGACTTCGCGCCACATCTCGATGCCAAAGTGCTCGATCCTAACGCCAAACAGCATGATATCTCAAACGACGCACAGCGGCAGCAACTTACCTTAGACTCAAGGAGGGACAAGTGCTGCCCCAGACAGTTCCTGGGACCGTCGATGAAAGGAAGGAAGGTGTACGGTGCCACCGGTGTCTCCATGAAACGGTCGGGGTTGTACCGCATGGGGTCTGGCCAGATATCCGGCCGTTCATGTACCCCCTGAAAATGCAGGCGGGCGCGGGGGGAGCACAGGGTATTGGTGGAAAATACCCACACTGTTCGAAAAAAATACAACGTACTTTGAACCTATCCCTTTCTAGTCTGGTATTACCTCCAACGGGGAGTCGTCCTCTGATTGAATATTTTCATACTTTCGAAGAAAAAAATAGCCTCAAGGCATACTTGCGGTCGAGCGCCACAACTCAGTGGGAAAAGCGATGCACAAAGAGACGCAACCGACAGGGGGGGGGAATGACACCTTTGATGCAAGAATGGCGCGGGGCGTGTCTGCAGTATTCTCACGTCCAAAACGAAGGGTGGGTGGTTTTGTGCCTATTAAATATGTGCTGAGGGGGTGTTGCCACCAACTGCCGCAATCCTGACGGGCAAATCCTGGCTGAAGCAAACCATTGTTAGCGCTTTACAGCCTCAATCCTGATGGGCAACTCCTAGCTTGGGTAGATCATTGTTGGCGCTCTACAGGGTTCTCTCCGCACTGTCATGTTCTCAGAGTGGATTGGAAAAAATGCAATACTACCAAATCTTTGCTGTGTGTCACAACAGTAATTGCATCACCACATGGAAAAACTAGAGGACGCGACGATCCCACTGTCTTTTCGGGTAATCAGCATTGATCAGCAGCTCCCACGCTAGAGCCTTACGCCCAAACCAAAAGCACTCGAGCACAAGGACCAGAACATGGTTCTGATTTTTCTCTCGTTCAAAAAATAACGAACGATTGTCATCGGTCCGTCAGCAGCATGTGTCGATGATGCGCAAAACACAGGGCAGCGTGCTCACATCCTTTGCCCGGTGACCCGCCGCGAAAAAAAAACAGTTTGCATTGTGTGCAGCAGAGCTAACGTCAACGTTCGTCACTCCGTCAACGGAGAAATCGACAAAAGAAAGAAAAACTTTTGTGCAAAGCTCGCTCAAATGCTAACGACTAGCCCGGGAAAACAGTCGGGGTACATCGCTTGGGCCAGTCCTTCTAGATCTCTCTCACCTTGATGAGGAGGTGTACCGAACATCCTTTCGGGATGAAGTGCTCCGTCCCCCCTTCTTCGCATAAGGTGGTGTCCTCCACGCACCGTCGTACCACCAGGGGCACGAGGCTACAATGCCAAGGGAGCCGGAATCAAGCAAGCAAAAAAAAAGCCAGACCAGAGAGGGCAGGAGGGCGACGGGATACTCGTGTTTAGCATGCCTTAGCGGTTAGAGCACTGACCACGCGCCCTCGAGAGGACGGAGCAGGAGACAATCAGAAGATATGTTGGGTGGAAACATGTGTGCGGGGACAGATGTCTTTGGAGGGTAGTGAAGAACACGTGTTGGAATACAGATTGGGTGGACATTTGCGCCACAGCCTGGCGACTGCGAGGTTTGACTTGCGGTGTCCCTCTTCGTTCTTGCCAGCAAAGCGACATCGTTTGTCTGTCTACGAACGGCCGTTGCCGGAAACACGCACAGTTACAAGCAAAAACAGAAAACGAAAACGTGTATCCCGCCCAAGTACGGTGATCCAAACGTACCTGTACTTTCGGAGGCTCTCCCGCAGACACGCCTCTGTGAACTGCAAACCCCTTAGCTTTTCTGCGGATGGAAGAGGGGCGGTCAGCGGCACGGCGTGCCCGAAGACTTGCTCCGATTCCGCCACTACCTGCGCGCCAAGGCAAATAACAGAGTGTGGCACGCAAGCTAGATGAGGTGAACAGGCTCCACCCGATACCCTCGGGCAATGTATGACCGGCGAAGACCACTGCTCGGTTCAATACGTCCGAACAGGAGAAGTATCAGGGAACCAAATGGCCCTTCAACTCACTGGTATCAGCGAAAAATGACTGGTCCCGAGGCTACTTTGGTCCATCGATTACGTTGACCACATCACAGCATGGGGACTAAACAGCGAGGAACCAAATGGCAGTTCGCCTCACTCGTATCAGCACCAAATGTAACTGGTCCTGAGGGTCCTATGATCGATCGACCATGTTACAACCAGATCGCAACAACGAAGTTGTGACAGGGGCATATCCTCCACGGTCGCCGCGGGGCTCCGTGGAATGAACAAGTCACATATCGCTAATCTACCGTCAGAGGCATGATGCCTCCGCATGCGACAAAGTCCGGCGCGGATGAGGTCGAAAAAAGCACCCTCCCACTTGCCTATCCCCGGCCCTTCCATTGCGATCAGTATCAGCATCCAAGGCGTGCGGCTTTTCTCTCTTGGTCATCAATGGGCAAGGTCGACCTAGCACCCCTCGCCCGCTGAAAAGCACGGCATACCCTCGCATTCAAAGTAGTGTGGCAGCGCCATCTACATGGAGGGCACCTTTGCACTTCGGACCGCGTGCCCTCGTCGAACACGGTTAGTCCAAACCGCCATCTACCACCAAGTTGATTTCTCCATCCTCACTTTGCTCCTTCACTCGGGGACCCCCTCTACATTGCGCCGCTCGTCCTCCAAAACGCTGGCACACGCCCATATATCGGGATCAACACCAAGCGTTTGGTAGGGATGTGGCCACTCCCATGTATCAAGAAAGGCTATATGGGAGTAGTGCCAAAGTTTTGGGGGACGAGCGGCGCAACGTAGTGAGGGGTGTCCCGAGCGGAGGAGCACAGCGAGGACGGAGGAATGCCGTACTTGACTCCATGCCGACAAAACCTTTCTACGATTCGCTCTACATACCTTGGCCATGAGGACCTTGCTTCCCATCAGCTCAAACAGAGACCAATTTAGCATGGAGGCCGACGTCTCGTGCCCGGCAAGCACGAAGGTCTTCATCTCGTCTCGAATCTGTTGCACCAGGGCAACACAAGTCAGGTCACCCAAACGTTCCGGCGGTAGCGCCGCAGGCAATAATGAGGTTCATACAATAACACTCCAGAAACAATCACCGACCGTAATGCAGGGTACAGTTGTGATCAATGACAATCCAAGAGTGCGTCTAATTGGTACGGCGACGAGAAAATCTCATTTCCCATGGGGCCAAGCCCGTGTTTCTACAGCAGGGGTTCAGCTACCCTTGCCTAACGCGTCCAAGCGCATGGCCATACTTAATCAGGGCCACAGCAAAAGTATCAAGGATAACGATGATATCACGAGCCGAGCAGCATGCACCAATGGGGCTGGCACACACATCTACCTTTATGTCGAACCAAAAAAAATTGCGTTCGCGATTGAATAGCCATATTTCTTCCCATTGTGTACTAGATGCCACCACGGCAACACAAGCTGCCGTAACGAAAAGTTCCCAAGCTCTCTATACCCAACAAACGACGCAGCTAACTCAAGACCTATGCTACGTGCATGATGAAAGGTTCGCACCTGCAAAACAGCCGCAGATCCCCACTCTCCTGGTTCAAGCGAATCTAACACTTTGTCCAGTATATCCCGCTTCCGCCCCAGGTGTGCGTGCGAATCCTTCCCGTCCGCGGTGCCCCCTAACCCCTTCCCCTCGGCAACGCCGTTCGTGGCAGCCGCGGCTTGATTTCTCTCCTTTCGAATGATCTCCCAGCGAGCGCGAATTATCCCCGTAACATAGTCGTTGAGTATCCGTTGGTTCTTGATGTGAGCCCACCAGGCAGGCAGTAGCGGGCAGAACCTCCGCAAGGGGTTCCAAGTCCTTAGTGGCGTGGTGGGGGGGGGGGGCGGCGCGTGGGGGCGGCTAGAGGTTAACACAAGGCATGGTGCCTCGAAACGAAGAGGTCGAATGTTGTGTCCGAAAAATATTGGGTAGTAAACTAGAAAAAGAGACATGTGTGTGGGAAAAAGCGACGCACAGATCGGACGCAAAAATCTTAACGCAGAGTGGCGAAACTGTGAACATTTTCTTGACAACAGGAACGACGTGGTTGGACACGGTGGCTTGGCGTGCAGCACCGGAGGAGCGCGCCTGAAACACCGACACCCAGAAGAAACACCGAAAAACTCCAGAAAGGGAGACAGAGAGAGAGAGAGAAAGAGAGGGAGAGAGGCAGAGGCAGAGACAGCGACAGAGACAGAGAGAGAAAGAAAGTGACAGAGAGAGACAGAGCGTGGGCACACTTATGGGGGCGTGTGGCTCTGATGCTTTACCTCTCGCTCACCTCTTGTGGCCCTCGACCACGATGGGCATGTAGACCTTAGCGAACGTCCCGTCAGCCTCCTCGGCGGTGAGACTCATCAACGCCTCCGATATCACCTGCAGACCCCCGACGGCACGCGATGTGTCGGCGCTAGCGGCCGTACCATAGTGTTCTCTCAAACCCCGGCTCACGACGTGTCGACGCCAGCGGCCATGTCATCGTGTTCGCTCGTGAACAGTAGGTCCAGATCAAAGTGACAAAGGGATAACCCCAATTAACTTATTCACCAATCAATATAGTCTGATGCGGTGCGGCACACGGTGGAAAGCACGTCAGGCAGGCAGGGCGTTCAATCTCCGTAGAATCCAAGGTGGTCCTTCCGTAACACAGAAGCACATACCAGTTGCGAGAGAATCAGGATACCGGACGGCGGAATCCTTTACTCTGGTGGGAACGACAGCAGCTCTTGCGGCGAAAAGATCGGAAGGGGCAAGGCCGAACATACCGCCAATGCCGTTGGGGCGTGCTGGGGCAACAAAGAACATGAATCGATTCTTGAGTGCGTGCTCCGGGTCTTGGCCCCTAGACCCCAACGGCACACGGGAGAGTTGAATATTTCCGTCTGCGTGCCGCCGTGTCTACCCTTTCGTCCCATCAAGTGACTAGAAGGCGATGGGATACTTCGCGGTGTGGGCTCCCAGCGATAAGCACCACCATGACCACCACCACTCCCCCTGCCGTTATGCCTATGCACATGCATACACCCCCCCCTCCCCGGTAGACCCCCCCCGCGGTGTTTGCCATCGGGGTTGGGTTTTCGTCGCTTGGCAACGACGTTGTAAAACAAGCCGCCCCCCCCGGTGTTTGTCATCGGGATTGGGTTTTCGTCGCTTGGCAACGACGTTGAAAAACAAGCCAATTCACTTCGTGAACTCGGCAACCAGGTTACTGTTTTGTTTTTTTTTTACCTCCGGTTTTTTTTTTTGGCGGTAACCATAATGGTGGTCGAGTAGATCATGTTGTGCGGGGTCGAAAACCCTCTCTCCGCGCAAGGGGGATGATCGCACCACGTTGTGTTAAAATGGTCAAGCACCATCGAGGCAGTTACACAGTGCTTACAACTGTCAGGAAGTGAAAGCACCAGAAAATAAATTAAGTCATACGCAGCTGTCATCCATACTCAAGGAAGTAAGCACAAGATGCCGAAAACCCTTAGCAGGATGCAGCGTACCCTTCATGCGACTCACCGAATATCTCACGGCGCTTCGCGCTTGGTGATGTGAGAGCCTGGTCCGGTGAGAACCCGGCGTGCTCCGTCCCGGCTTTGTAGGGATGCGAGGTCAATGGTCTAACGACTACGGCATGCACGACTATGAGTACACCCCCCCCCCCCCGGTGTTTGCCTATCGGGATTGGGTTTTCGTCGCTTGGCAACGACGTTGTAAAACAAGCCAATTCACTTCGTGAACTCGGCAACCAGGTTACCGTTTTTTTTTTTTTCCTCCGTTTATTTTTTTTTGGCGGTAACCATAATGGTGGTCGAGTAGATCATGTTGTGCGGGGTGAACCCTCACTCCGCGCAAGGGGGATGATCGCACCACGTTGTGTTAAAATGGTCAAGCACCCTCGAGGCAGTTACACAGTGCTTACAACTGTCTCTGGAAGTGAAAGCACCAGAAAATAAATTAAGTCATACGCAGCTGTCATCCGTACGCAAGGAAGTAAGCACAAGATGCCGAACACCCTTAGCAGGATGCAGCGCACCCTTCATGCGACTCGCCGAATATCTCACGGCGCTTCGCGCTTGGTGATGTGAGAGCCTGGTCCGGTGAGAACCCGGCGTGCTCCGTCCCGGCTTTGTAGGGATGCGAGGTCAATGGTCTAACGACTACAGCATGCACGACTATGAGTACACCCCCCCCCTCCCCGGTAGATCCCACCCAAGCCAGCCCGTGAGTCTCTCAAACTGTATGGCACCGCCTGCCGTGTACCTGCAGCGTGAGATGCCTCATTTCCTCTCCGATTTCCATGGACTCGTTAGCCTCCTCCGCCTCGTCGAGCCTCTTGGCGAGGCGCGCCACGGCCCTCTGGGCCATGCCCGGCACGGCCGATAGGACCTCGATGCGAAACGCCGCGGAAACCTAGGCAGCACGGATCGAGTGAAAAAGGCCACGGGGGCGACATCCATAGATAGGACAAACATGTGGGTGGCAGGTTTAATTGTTGAAGCGACGAAAAACTACTCGTATCTCAACAGGTATTTTTAGCGCAAAGGTCGAGGACGAGGTCCGGAGGTAAAGCATAAACATGCGGGTAGCAGGTTGAATTTTAAAAGCGACCAACAACTACTCGCATCTCAACAGGGATCGAGTGCAGAGGTAATGAGGACGAGATCCAAAGGTAGCGTCTACATGTGGGTAGCAGTGAACCCCATCCCTTGAAAGCGTACCCCAAGAACTATTCGCACAGTATCTCGGCAGGGATTGAGTGCACACGTCTCGTGGACGATACCTAACAATAGGACAAATACGTGGTGGCAAGTTGAACCTTACTCCCCTCGAAAGCGCCGGAAAACTACTTTGAGTCTCAGCACGGATTGAAGCCAATTTCAGGAGGACGATATTCAACGGTAGGGCACACGTGTGGGTAGCAGGTTGAACCTCAGTCCTTGTGAAAGCACCCAAGAACTACCCGTATCTCATACCGCTCTCTGTGTAGAGACCATCGGGATATTTCACGGTTACTTCCGAATGTTCGGCAAACGGTACGCTTTCATAGAGAGTGGTACGTGTGTAGCGGCTCCAAGTGCTGCTGCAATTGACAACGAAGGTTCAAACCAGGCCGCGGTAGAAAAGCAAGCACCCGACGCACGGGATGGAAAGCCCAAGAGAGGTGGTGTTGGTTTGCACGTCTGAAGCTGAAAAATCTCGGGACCCGTTCGGTGGTTACAGATTTCTTTATTCCGCCAGTCGTTGAGTCTACATCCTGACCGTCCTCTGTCCCTTCACCTTGTTGCGCTGCTTGCGCCACTTGGGTCCATCTGACGTGACGATGCCGGTTCCGAGAAGGGAAAGGAATGGGCGGTAGGCGAAGTCGACATCCTTGTGGTACTTAGATATCTGCTCTTGGGAAAAAGTGGTACGGGGCGAGAGTGGGGTGGGGTACCGTGGGATCGTCTGCGGAAGCATGGCAAGAGTGCAGAAGTGGTGCTGTGAAGAGCTTGTCCCACACGTAAGGGAACAGGAGACACAAAAAAATGGTACGCGACTATAGCCAGTGCTTGTTAGTGTCGTGGCCGAACCACAGGAAGATGATAGATCAAGCCGTGTGCACCCGGTCTCCCACACACTTGGAACCGTAGCCATGACCAGTGGATCTCTTTGTCAAACAGCAGCTGTCGAGCTTTCGTCTTCACCTTAGTCCGCATGACCTCCTTCATGAAGGACGGGTCAGACAACACGACGTTGACGTTGCCGAACAGGGAGAACTTGTAGATGCTCCCGTACTCCTGCGCCCACCGTGTCATCGTGTCCCACGGGGCCCCCTCGGCTAGCTTGAGGGCAGGTCCAAGCACCGGCAAAGTACCCCTGCATCGCCAAGTTCGGCGATGTTTTGTTGGTGATTATTTTCGCTGGTCGTATGCATACATGTCGGTGACCAAGGATGGACGTATATTGTACATGAAATAAATAGGACAAGGAGTTTGAAGGTGATGTGAAACTGGTCGATAGGGGTGTGGAGGCGGAAGGACGTGCGAAGTGTACGGAGGTTTGGGTTGTCGACTCGTCGACCCAAGGAAACACTTTGCGCGTCTGCGTTAACCTATTCCCTGACAGTCATTGAGGTTTGACACCTCTTACGAATGTGACAGAGTAAACGGAAGCTCTCATTCATGTATCTAGCCATCCATCAATCTCAGGCGTTGCACCCGCTGTAATACATAACTCTTTCCTGGCTGACGGGAACTATCTTTACTGCTGTATACTACACACCGTTGAAAATTGCAAGGGGGAGATTACCTTTACTGCAGTCTCCCCTCGTATACCGTATACGACACACGATAACACACACCCTGGACCGCTTTTCAAAGCTCCATTTCTCGACAGCAGAGAGAATCACAGCGCCGCAAACGGCGTCGTTGAAGCTGCCTTGTCGAGGGCTTCCCGAAAATGTATCGTTTCCGTTTACGCATGTTGTTCGTCATGGCGTCATCGGGCTTTGAAAATCGGTCCAGGGGGTGTGTTATCTTGTGTCGAAAACGGTGTGGAAAGTGTACACTTGTTCTGATCACAGGTTAGCCGTTGCAGCCTCCGTAACTCATCCACCCTGAAATGTGTTCGTTTGGATGATGCGATGCGATCACCATGATCATCCGCATACCTCTCGACAGCAGCTGCTAGAGACAATCAGGCAACTAAAGTAAGGCTCACAGGTTAATAGGCTCACAGGAGACCATCCCCAAGTCAGCGGCTACACCACTTCGAAGCAGTGCATCTTGGCCAACGCGCAACAGCCAACAAGCAATTGTTCTTGCTCAGATCAAAATCGGGAGTTATTTGGTGTTTGCAATCACTCTCCCTTCTTCCCCTCGCTCCTCGACAAGCTTTTGCTTAGACATGGGTTGTAGTGAAGGGGGGGTCTTTCTGGCGAGCAGGGCTAGACTCACCCTCAAGGGATGACCGAAACCTTCTTGCTGCTGCGCATATCCGCCGCGAGGCATGCGCGTGGTGGTGTAGTTGGGTCGGCACTGATGGGGTCAGGC